CGGGGGAGGTCTTCTCCGGAGACCAGGTTGGCGTGTGCCATCGGGGTAGAACAGGGAGATATACACAGACCGGGCCGAGGGGGGAGCCTGCTGAGGCCTGGGTCCAAATAAGGGTCCAGACCTCTGATCTACATTCAGCTGCTTGGTGAAGTCCTGGACAGCAGAACTACAGCCTGAGCCCCCAGACAGAGCCCAAAATAAACGAGAAACGAGGAAAACGAAGGGCTCCGTTGGAATGTTGGAAGGCGGCTCAAGAGTGAAACAGTGAACGTTTCAGTGCTGGTTCACTGAGGAGAGACTGTGCAGGATTCACATACCCTCAGAGGACCTGCTGCCATGAGAGTTCTTACAACAGCCAGGTGCTCTGCATAAACTGTATCCATGGTGATCGAGAGAGAGCGAAGGCATGGTGTCGAGTGTAACAGGTTTTATTTTTTGTCATTTTTGTTGTGTTTTACCTTTTTTTCAATGATTGTCCTTTATCAGCATGCACTGTATATTCTTAAAAAAATGCTTTTAGCTTCTGAAATGGATTTTCACCACATCCAGGGTGTACCCTGTCTTGCACCTGTTGCTTGCTGGGCTAGGAAAACAATGGTTAGAAAATGGATGGATGGAAAAATGCCATTTTTATATGCACAAAGGTGTGTATAGTAGGGAGGCTGTCTCCTCTCATAAATTGCCAATGGAGCTACTGTATATTTTTTATGTGGAAGAGAAGATAACATACTCAGAGTTCATCTGGTAATTGCTCCTTTGTTTATGTGTTTGTAGGTTGATTGGAGCATACTGTATAAGCCCTGTGTAATGCAAATTGGATAAGATAACATATGGACAATGAATGTCTTACAGTAGCTACTTAATATTGATTACTTTCCCTTTTTTTCTTACATCACAGGTGTGGATGTTGGTGTTGGCACCGAGACATGAGAAACAGTAAGTCTTCCATTTGTTACTTTCATTTGTCAGTCATGAAATATAAAGTTACAAGCCTGTGGCAGTAACCCCATCCTCAATTCTCAAGTCATTACTGGTGATGAGTATTATCGTTCATACTGTAGTTTTTTTACAACATGAATTGCTAGCTTTTTTCTAGTAATGTCATGATATGAAGTCTGTTCAAAAGGGGTTCATAACTTTGGAAGGTCGCGTTATGATGGGTACAGTGTTGTGTCACTTACTCCACCTTTGTGTGGAAATACAGTAGCAAAGCAGTGGAATGACACAGGTGACAAGAGAGTTGTTCCCTGAGTTGTCAAAGTTTTTAAAACCCAAAAAAAGTTCATATACTTGAAGTGGCAGACCTTACCTATAGTTAATGTTCTGCTGCAAATAAATTAAATATTTTCACAAAAAAATAACTATTTCTAAAGGATAATTGGATGAGAAACAGCCATACAAAAGACAATACAGCTGCAACAGTCAATTTATATGATATTTAATTTGAAAAATGTCTTATCTGATTTCATGGAAATGTACATACTTTGAGTCTGAATTTGGTTTAATCTTCTTTGCAAAGTGATAGCAGGATGGTTAAACCTTTCTTTTTAATTTAATAAAGAATAACAGAGTTTGCTGACTAAACAGACCACTGACGTCATTTCTAAAGTAAAGCCATATTTTTACAGCTTGGATATGCACTAACCTCAGTTTCACAGAATTTTAAAAAATAAAATCATCCATCTTTCACGAAATCCAGCATGATAGTTCCGAATTGAAACTATCAAACTATCTGAACAGTAACTGTAAAGTATTAAATCAATTTCTTTGCTTGACTGTTTGTGAAAACATATTTGGAGCACTATATAGTGATTTCACAATTTTACCAATAGTTGATTTATACTAAAAGCTTATATTTTGAATATGTTACTATATTAAAATGTGTTAGTAAAGGGTTCAAGTATGATCTTACAGGCAAAACAAAATTATGTTTTGTGGACCTAATGTATTTATATAATGCATTATATAATGTATAATTATATAAAGTATAATGTAAAGACCCTAGTTGGGCAGAAAGAACTACAGTATACATTCACAAGCTTAAATTACCTCACATTAACAACTTAATAATGCAGAAATGAGTCTATCTCATAAACTGAAAGCTGTGAGAAACTTAAAAATACAGATAATGATGAAATTCTTGATTATCTATCCATTCATCCTCTCATCATGGGCACAAGGTGGGTACACCTTGAATGGGTTTCCAGTCTATTGCAGGGAACACACAGGCACACACATGCACACACTTACCCCAGGACCAGTTTTCCCAGAAGCCAATTAACCTACCAATATGTCTCCAGTAAAGACTGGTGAAGGACTTTGGAAATTAGAGAAGAGTGTTTTCACACATCTAATTGACAATAGAAACTAATGTTTACAGACTTGGAATTAATTGTATGAAACAGCATGCATTGCATGTAACTAACCTGTATATGCTTTAGAGGTGTAATGAAATTTATTTGCGCAAAAAGTACAGTGGGAAGAAACCAGAGCACCCAGTAAAAATCCAAGCAAACATGTGGAGAGCATACAACTCAATGCAGATACCAGCCCAGAAATTGAAATCAGAAGGCATTTACCACTGTGAAATCATGTCACCCCCTTGCATATCCTTACTAAGCAAAAAAACACACATTGAGTTATCATCATGTAAGTCTGTAACACTAGAAGATGGCTGTATTAATTGCTAAGGGAAATTAACACAGAAAATAGAGTGAAGATACAGTAATATATTATCTTAATTTGACGATAGTGATAATATATTAATTTTCTTTTCCCAAAAATGCATCCTGCATTGTGTGTAGTTACACCAGTTTTCTAATTCAATACTTAAGGTCTTTTCAGGATTTCTTGGCCTTTGTCTCGTATCAGTTTGCATATGAGAAAATTTGTCTTCCCCCAGTAGTCAGGTCAAAAAATAATTATTTATACTGCTGGCAGTCTTCCGAGGTCTAGTATAATTCATGTTGATGCTCATCAAGGCAGCAATAATCTTACAATAATTAATCATTGTCCTTTGCAAGAGAAAAAGGGATATGATACATTTAAAAAGGTTAGACGTGCTGTATACTTAGAAACCAGGAGGGAGTTTCTGAAGATTTGACAGAGAAACACAATAACAGATCTAATTGTTAAAACATGCAGAAGATGTAAGAAAACATTCTTCTTTCCTTTTATCCTACCACATTCGTTTGTCCATGATGTATTGCTATAATAATTGACTAATTAAATCATACCTTTCTACTGTTAGAAAAGAACAACAAACAGTAATCCATTTTTACTTGCTTTATGCACATGATGTGACATGTTACATATTGAGAACTGAAACATTAGGGATATTCCCATAATCTGAAACTATTTATTATTGAAGATATTAGTTTTTTGATTGAGCAACTTTTTGGAACATTCTTCTGTGCAGCAATAGCAAATCGCAGATGTTGTTTTTATGTTTTTTACCTGTTACCTGACAAATTTGCATTGTCAACATTATTTTCATTAATAACAAGAGAAGCAATGTACAATAAATTAATCAGTCATTACCTGGTTGAGTGTAGGTTGATTATGTATAGTTGTAATTCCTAGTAGTCTTGGACAATGTCAAATCACACTTTGTATGACTTGTCATTAACCCGTGCTTGGTTAGTTCCAATCAACAACTAATCATAGTCTAGGTCGGGCCATCACGTTGTAATACTGCAGGTTCAGAACTTACAGTATTGTATGTCGCTTACCCTGTAACCAAAAATGTTTCGACTATGTATTGCAAAACAGAAGCAAGAAACGTGTTACATTTACCTTCAACAAAAGCTTCGCCGAAACCTAAATATTCACACACCGGTGTTCTGGAAAGGGGGACAACGGCGTCCCCTAACGGACAATTGATATTTTCTCCAAACAACCACATATCATGTACGCGGCTTACAGTATGTTCATTCATTGCCTGTTTATCATATTTATTAGCAAAAGTTAAAAAGGTAGAAACTGATAGCATAATAAAGCAATGTTATCAACATAATCATCTACGCAAACTGCAACATTACTGTTGTGTTCCTATTATTTTTATTATTATTATTATTATTATTGTTGTTGTTGTTGGTATTGAAAAATTACTACTGTATATCGCATTGGCTGTTTTTAAGACTTCATGACTTTACCATAAACAACGATTTCTTGATTTTCTTTAGTGCTGGTCATTTTTAATTCATCATCAGCTCTTTCTTGTAGATATTTTAGCCCCATTCCAGGGACCTAACAGCTGCTTTAAAAGTATAGAACAACCACCGAGGGAAAAACCAAGGAAGCACCTGTTTCCAACCAGGAGGAGGAGAAAGCTTTTATTTAAACTTCAAACTCCGCAACTTCTCCAGTGGCTCGTATTGTGTACTAACAGCAAATAATTCCTATCTGCAGGACTGAGGACTAGCTCATTTCTGATTTGACACAGAACTGGCGAAGAAACTGCTGCTTCTCATTTCTTCCCAGGAAAAAAAAAAAGGCTGGACAGATGGTCTAGGGGGGTTCTGCGGATAGTTTTGAGTTATATTCAAGTCCTTGACATACTGTATCATAGGCATCCCAGCAATAGCAACTGAACATTTACAACCAGGTTCATCCTGTACAGTATGCAAGCGAGATGAGCGTTTGAGAGCTGTTATTTTTGCCTTTTTTCAAACGAGTTCAATTTTTTATACTGTATGCATCCTAAAAAAAGTTGAAACTTGGTTAAAAGGTGCATTGCATTCACAATGTTAGTACGGTTTCATCAGTCGGTATCTCATGTTTGCCAAGAGCTGTTACACACCATTGGCTAGGTGCAATGTCCAGATTTCTTATGGAATTTGACTATAATCATAGAAATAATAACAGCAAAAGAGGGAGTGAAGCTACACTTTTCTTCAGTAAGCAAATAGATCCGCGTAAAGTAGGGATGCCAGCCAGGCGTGGCTTGTATTTGAATATCCAATATGTGAATGCTTGGGGAGTATGTATATAAAAGGCTCTTTCCATCTGATAAACAGACATTTCCACAGTGATGAATAGCAAGGGATGATAAATGAAAACAATATTATTGACAACCTGTTCATTGTAGGAAGCCAGAAGCCTTGCGTGAAGTGTTACGATTTGTAAAGCATCTATATGGGTTTGTATTACACCTTTCAGAGCAAACTTTAATATCTGAGTCGATTAAAGTTTTAATTGGACTTGCAACTCTTCCCACGACGAGCGATGGCAGAAGTCGGCGGTTTTCTCGGGGCGCTCGATTTGGATTTACAAGGGTTTCCAGCCTTCGGGAATATTCCCCTGCCGGAGTCGCCTGTGGGTTTGAATGAGAGATTGGGACAGATTGAAGGGAGGTTACAAAGAGGCTCTCTTACGGATTTTGGACACCTGAAAGGTATTTTGCGGAGAAGGCAGCTCTACTGTAGGACTGGTTTCCATTTGGAGATATTTCCCAATGCCACCGTACATGGGACCAGACAGGACCACAGCAGATTTGGTAAGCAAGACAGAATAAATGTGTCTCACTTTGGAGCTTGTGATTCTTTGAGACCAAATACATTTCAGTATATACACTATATATGCTAAGAACTTCATCTTAAAATGTAATTAACTGTAAATTTGTATTTTTAAAAGACAAAAGAATTTACTTTTTATTAGTTGAGTTTAGGACTTGCTTTTAAAAACGTTACTAGATCTTCGTGCAGAAAGAAATCGGCGCAGTTTTTTTTGTGCATTAAAACAGATTTTAAAGACATGCGATAAGCCTACTGTATGTAAAATAAAAGTACATCTGAAAAATGTTGGAGAAAAAAGCTTTAAATGGTTGGAAATTCTTTGTGGGTGAGAACCTACTTTAGAAATGCCCTAAATGACAGCAATGAATCCAGTTAATTAACTGCTAATTTAGATGACGTGGAATAAGGTAAGCACATTGTCGCGGGTAACTGTTATTTCAGTTTTCAAAGGGGTATTTACCCTGGCACGTCTGCTTCATTACCGCTGTTATTATTACTAGCCATTCTTGCCTGAACAATTCCGAGCTGCTTGATCTTCGGGGAACCCGGGTGTCTTTGCTCCACTGGAAGCAAGCGATCAGCAAGAGGGTCTGTTTTTCTTTATGAACTGGTTCAAAGGATCCAGCCGCCACAGTTACACACACACACACACACTACTAATTATACTATTAATATAAATCATCCCAAGGAACAGTTATAATTAGAATTATAAACAAATGAGGTCAGGACGCAGAAATGTGCATTTTTGCTTTTCATGTTCGTGGTAATTCTGCAGGTGCAGCTTTTCTTTAAAAAAAAGTGAAATATCTAAATTAAAAGCACTGTGGAATTCAAGGAAGTTTAATGCTTGGTCTTTAAGCCAAAACAAGCGCGTTAGTAGAGTTTGATTTTTATCATCACGAAATCCCAACAGAAATGTGTGCTTCATTTAGTAAGGGCAGGGTGCCTTACTAAAAAATATAAAACACGCGATTTAGCATTACATTTGCCAATTTATTTAGACTGAAATGTGCCGTCTTTTCACGGAAAATACACCTAAGTCATTTCTCTGTAGTTTATAAATCATGTCTATCTAAACGGTGAAAAGGAATATTAAAAACAATACTACCCTTTGTCAATCAACTGAAGTGTTTCAGGCAACACTGATTAGAAACATACAAAACCTGACAGAATATTTTATGATTTGCGGTTTACGATGCATTCCTCATGCCAATAATACGCTTATATTTATGTGTTCACTAACTCAATATATTGTTCTTCTGTGGGCTTTCAAATGCTTTCATTACACTTTTTGTTTGACTTTTACATTCTAATGCCACATAATGAAAGAGTTTAGCAAACCTGTATGTCTTCCAAAAGTCTTTTGACATAAATGTAAAGGATTATATTTTTGCATAAAAGATTACACTGACAAACTGCTAATCCCATTAATTATTATACAAGAGGACTGTGTATTGACCAAATAAACTTTGAACCCAATTAGGTTTGAGATTTAACCTTTCTGAGATCATGAATCAAGTCCATGTGTTAATTCCAGTGTAGTGTCTCAAGATATTAGTTTCAGTAAAACATCAAACAATCATGGTGCATTAGGCTCTTTTGCAGATGCTCCTTAAACAGTGGCTGAGTACTGGAATTGAGTAGAATCTTAAAAAGCAGTCTTATCCTATGCAGGACAAAGGCAGTTGTGCCTTCAGTGTTGCAGCTGGTCAGCTGGAATTGCACTGTTGAAATTTTAATTGCTCTGCATTTTCTAGTCTTGCTGCATACAGAAATGAGTGACAAACAGAGACAGTAGACTGGCCATTCTAATAAAACTAGTTTTTTAAGCCATACTTCAGTGTTTCATTTCTCGTGAGAACATCCCATTTATGTGGTTTATAAAAATTAGTTTTAGTGCATTGCACAAAGGATATTTCTGTATCTTATCTTTGCATTGACATATATTTAGCATATAACTCTAAGGTTACATCACTGTATATACTGTATATTTATGTGAAATTAAAAATAAATGTTAAAAATAAATGGAGAACGTAGTGGCATTTGGATAAAGACCTGTCCATGGTCCTGTTTTTATCCTGTTACTTGTCACTTATTTTCGAACTGTGCTAATTACTATTTGGTTACTACTTGCTACTAAATTTAAGTCCATTCTTTTTGTTAGTTGGAATTTTGTCATTTCTAAAATTGTTTTTAAACCTTTTATATCAGACTTGACAAAAGACATCTTTTCTGTAGTGGCTACCATCATGCTTACTTCATAGTGCTTGAAAGAGTTATGAACTCTATGGTGTGCTGAATATGGGGTCATGCGATGGAAAATGCAATGGCCTAGAAAGAATAGACTTATCTGTATAGGTAAATTACCAAAGAAGAAATGGCCCAGTGCTAATATGATGATAGTATAAATGTTAGTATAGTGATGTATAATATAGCAATTATAGTATCTTTTGAAGTATAACGTTCTGAAAGTGTTGCACGTTTCATCTGTTTTCAGTAGAAGGATTCTTAGAAGGATGTGATGAGCTGGGGACTTACCCACTAGGTACAAGATGCAAGGCAAGACTCCACCCTGGGCCTCCAACCTAGGAATAGGAAAGGATATACACAAATTGGGGTGCCCATTTGGGGACACCTGTTCATATCTACTGTAGCTACTGTATATAGCTCACCTTAAGACTGAAGAATTAAATCGGAGCAAATGTGCATGTGTACAGAACCTTCAAACACAGAAAAACGGAAGGTGCTCTTCTTCAGTTGTGAGACAGCAGAACTAAGTGCTATGCTTTTGTGTCTCCATCTTTATAGTTAGTTACTCAGATAACAAATCGTAGCACAAGCGACAGTGTCAGTGTTCCATCTGTTGATTCTGCTGCAAATAAATCACATTCTTCAGCTAGACCATATTCTTTTCAGTGTTATTTTGTATGTCTTTTAAACTTATCTCTGCTCAATTGTCATGCCCAGAAATCACTGAACATCCACTCATGGTGAACACGTTTTCACTTAACACAACTCATCATCCCCAAGGTAGAGTTTTCAGCTGTTTCCAATCACTGATCCCTGAACTTGTTTAACTCACATTTTAGTCTTGCAGGTTTGCAAACTACTGTATATGCAAAATAGTGTGTTTATTTTCACCTGTTGCTGAACAAGATGTCTCAAAATATTATTTTCAATCTATAGTGTTAATAGTGTAGTTTACTAATTACAACTACAAGCAACAAATTAAATTACCTAAGTATTTTTTAATTATGGTTAATAGTCAATCGGGTTACGAGACAGTGGCTGATAATTGGCTTTTAAACAGAGATACATTGTAAACACCAAACTTGTTTAACATTACTTATCCATTTCAATTTTACAGTTCAACTCAGGATTCTGCAATGCTTGTCAGTTTCTTAAATCTTAGCCACCTTCTATTACTTAACTTTAAAAGGTTGATTACCAATAAGCCTTATATCCGTATTAACAGTAGTACCAGTAAATCAATATTACCATATTGTCAGAGACAACTGGATAGTTCGGAAATGTATCAACTTTCAGTACCCTTTGACATTGTTAATTGTTAGGATGTTGTTTGATTATATAGTAGCTTTTGGTCTGTGCACTTTCTACATTTAAGTCCCACATATTTTCTGAACATTGTGCATTCACTGTAAACTTCATCTTAGGAAACTAAACTAACTTCATATCTCGGGTGTACCTCAGGGCTCAGTTCTATGATGGTTCTAGGATTGCTTATTGACCCTGGCTTATCTTATCCACTGACAGCTTTTTAATCTTTCACTATTATTCTCCTGACACACTGCTACATAGACTATCAGTTAAATGTCCTGTACAGACTAAAACCTACATGAAGAAATTAAGATCTAGGCATTTCCAATTTGCTTTCTTAATTCAGATAAAGCAGAAGTAACTGTATTTAGGATAGAATAGTGTTAGTGCTATTTTTTTTCATGAAGTATAAATATATATAATTGTTTAAATATTATATCTACCCAAGAGAACCCTTGGTTCTAGAGTTTGAACCGACAATTATATAGGCGTGTATCTACTGTATAAAATAAAGAAGACAGAGAAATGTTTGAAAATCAGCTCATTCATCAAACCTTGTTTCATTTTTGTGTTTTTATATGTTGCATTGAGAGTTATATTGTGCTTGATCTTTTGCCTAGCTTTTAAGTCTAAAAATCATAGTTGTCTCAAATGTCAGTGGCAGGTACAATCTAATATTTGGGTCACAGAACAGAACTCAGATTCTTAAAAAAAAAAAATTTTACTATGTACTGAGTCTAGCACTTTTTTTGCTAGCACAGCTCTAGTTCATCTTATCTTTCCAAGTTCCTGACAGCTTCTACCCCCTCCTACACCTTGAATTAGGACTTCTAACTTTAGAACTTCTGGCTGTTCCCAGAGTGTGAAACAGTTAACACAGTGGGTGGTAAGTCTGCTGTTATCATGTTCCGTGCTAATGGAACTGCCTCCCAAACTACATCAGGGAGTCTGCATCTGTATCTATTTTAAAATCCCAGCTCAAGACTTATCTCTTTGACTTGGTATTTTCACTGCTGTAAAGCATCTTGAGAAAACCTCCTATCACTAAATCTCACTCGGCATTGTATTTCAGACTTGAATTCCGATTTTTGAATTAAACGCACCACGTGACCCATACCTCAAGTGAATTTTGTACTTTCTTGTCAAACATGTTTTTAAAAACAACAGAATGATGTCATTGCTTAAGTTTAATTTAATATTTATTTCAAAATTGTTTCAGTGTGTACCCTTTGACACAATACTTCTCTACTTTGGAGCTATAGTCCTTTTTATGCCTTTTATGTAATGTATTATCTGTAAAACTGTACAGATAAAATAAAACTAGGAAAGACGTCAATTAAAATGTAAAAATGAACAGTGATAGCTCAAAGTTATCTTCATATCTCTTCTGTATGTCTCAATCTTCTGAATGAAAAAAGCGGGCCTCTTTTGGCATTTGTGAAAAGGACTGCTAGTTTTCATTTTCTAGTAAAGAAAGTAGACAAGTATTTAAGATTATGAAGTTTCTTGTACATTACTTTGTAGACTTAGCTTCGTTTATAGATGAAAACAACTTATCAATAGAAGACAAATTCTTCCCTGCATCTGGTTAGGCAGTGTATGTGTGTTTGTACTGTACATATCTATAATTTTAAGATGGAAAACTCCATACTTCAGATTACTTCTTGTCTATATCAGTGTTTGGAAGTTAAGGAAGACTGTTTTAGGTGAATTGGTTAGTGTTTTGTCTTAGGAGTCTTTTGAAATAGACATGGCTTAAATTTCCTTTTAGTAGAAATGAACACTTCTCACTGATGACATAAAAAATCCCATTTATGATCCCAATCATAGACAAGATTGCCAGTCATTTTTTTACTCCTTTGTTTTAGAAATAGGACCAAGACAACACAATTGCAATACAGTTGCTGTGGATTTTATTCATTTTAGTGTGCCATTATTTAAATTACAAGACCGTACAGAAGTAAGCACTAAGCCAGTTTAGAAATTGTGTTGCCATCAGAGTAGCAAAGTGGTAGTGATGTTTCACCATCACTTTCAAATTGACATTGAATTAAGAAAAACACTGTTTTGCAAAGTCTTTTTTGTCAGTGTTGGCATTCATGAACAGGGACACACAGTTAAACAATGTTTAAATTAGATAATTAACATGGCTACTACCTAGTGCAACCTAAATCATCACAATGAAATATAGTGTGAGCAAAAACAGATCAAACAATTAGTTTACTCAATATAATGTCACAATGTTCTGAAACCTGAGCCTTGCTTTTAACTTCCTTCATTATTGAATACAGGTATTTATGTAAAATAATCAGTGCATATGCTATTTCCTTACAAGGTACTCCAAGGTACTCCATTTTATTTATTTATACATATATAGTAGTCTTTTGGATGCTTTTTTAAGCTTAGCTCAGAGATGTATATATTCTTCTTGTTCATTTTGGTCTTGGTCCCCTTTACATCCTTTTTACTATTTATTTTTCATAATATTTTTAAATATAACGCATTAAATTATTAGGCCATTGCTTTATAGACCTAATTTTGCTAGCTATAGTTGTGTATTGCATTTCCACTGAGCTTCCAATAAAACAGGTGTTAATGTATCAACTCATTCTCTCCCTATCCCCCATCTATTGTTTCTTAGTCTTCTTGTCTTACTGTGTCAGTTTTTCATTCTGCTGTGATGGAATTGTAAGACAAGGACATAAACTAGGTAACTAGTGTTAAAGATATACCTCAAAAATATTAGCTTGAGCAACTCAAGAGGCTCAATCAGCAAAGGCCTTCAATCACAGAATCAATTGCGTGACTTTAAGCAGGAGTCCCCAGCCAGGATCTCAGCTTTTGACAAAATAGCAATTCCTGTGGCTCTGCAGGCGTTCAGTGATGTCAGCGAGCGTTTTGGCGCTTCTCCATTCAACACTTATACCTCTGCAAGGCACCGTGAAGACTGCAATATGCAGATGAGGAGCATGTTTGCCAATTCTTATTTTACTCATGATTTACAACTGTTGCAGCTGTAAGTTTTAAACATTTGGCAATTCCATATTAGTTGGGCATAGAATAAAGTAAAATTGGTCATTTCTATTTAAAAATACAAGGAGGTAGACATTGGCCCTTATACCTTTGTTTCCCAGTCCACTATCTGTTTGATGACACAACATCAGATTTAGTCTCTGTACTCACAGTTGGACATTCCCAATATTTATGAGGGAAACTAATGTCTCCCATGGTACTGAACTTTGCCGTTTTCCAGGCATTCTTATTTCATTGCATAGTAAAGGTTTCATAAGGATGCTGTAAGATTTTGGCCTATACCACCTTCCTATATATTTAGTGTCAATGCAGTCTTTTTCAGATTCCTAAAAATATGGGATTTTGAGAGTTTTGAATTCACAGGTCAAGAAAAAAGGTCATACACCTTTAACGACATTACAGGGTTTTAACTTATTAATTGCATTGAGTAATTAAAAAAAAAATTCTAAATATAGTCCCTTGATGAATCGTTATGTTTGATTGTGAGTGAGTTTTGCTTAAAACCTTAAATTCTGAATTCTAACGTAAAACGTACCTCAAAAGTCAAAAACAAATTAAAAAGTGTAACGTGTTTCATAAAACTCAGCTAAAGTGGTGTGTTAAAGGTTCCATGTCCTAATTTGTCATGGAATAACACCCCTTCTTAGAAATTTAAGTTCTTTGGAAATGTTTCCCATTTATCTATTACAGTATCAACCAAGGATTCCAAAATCGGGCAGCACAGGTGCACAACGGTTATCGTTGCTGCATTGCAGTACTGGGGCCCTGGGTTCAATTCCGGACCTTGGGTACTATCTGTATGGAGTTTGTATATTCTCCCCATGTTTGTGTGGTTTTTCACCAGGTGCTCCAGTTTTCTCCCATAGTTCAAAGATGTACTGGTAAGTTAATTGGCTTCTGGGAAGTTTGGCCCTAGTGTAAGCATTTGTTTTTGTGTCTGTGTGTACCCTGCAATGAACTGGCATCCCACCCAGGATGTATCCTGCCTTGCTCCATTTGCTTACTGGGATAGGCTCTGGCTCCACAACCCTGGAGTGGTTAAAAGGATGGATGGATTGCTGATTTGCAATTAGTGTTTATGCATCTCAGCATTCACATGAAGGGTTATGTAGTGTAGTCTTGGCAGCAGAGATCTCTGTTACATAAGAAGGGTTACATACTGTATGAAAGGAGGCCATTTGACCTATCATGCTTCATTTTTTGCCATTTTTTTTATCTAGGAATCTTATCTAGCTGTTTTATAAAGGATACTAGAGAAACAGCTTCAGCAAAGTTGCTTCTTGATTGGAATCTGGAATGCATTCACACCTACAGTAGTTCTTAATGATGTCCTTGGATAATCGTTACACTGTTGGTCCTGAAGCAGATCTCTAGTTCGACTTTGTCAGTACCTTTCAGAATTTTGAAGTTGTATTAAGTGTCCCAATAATCTTTCTTTTTTTATACCAAAGCAGTTCAGTTGCTATAATTAAATGATTCTAATGTACAATGCCCTTAGTGAAATGTGTCAATCCGATCTGCACACAGAATTCTGTGAAATTAGGTCTTACTAATGCATTGTATAATTTCATGAGATAATTCTATACTTTTCACATTTTGACTTGTTCTTATTCGGTCAAAAGTATATAAAGATTTGTCACAAATTTACTATTTAAAAATGACAAAAAATAGCAAATCATTTTGGACATGTTTAGTTACCAATTCATGAACTACAGTAGTAAACCTACTGTATTTTATGGAGCATCATGATCCGAGTATGAATATAGTTATGTTTTCTCTTAGGGATCCTGGAATTCATTAGCCTGGCTGTTGGTTTGGTCAGTATCCGTGGTGTTGATGCTGGACTTTACCTTGGAATGAATGAGAGGGGCGAGCTCTATGGGTCGGTAAGTTTGATACATTGCATGAACCGTATTTAGGAGTGGTTCTGCGGAGAACTGCATAGGTAATGTCTGACAACAATTCATTGCAGTTCAGGAATTTTCATGTTATGGTTTAAATTCCAGATTGGAAAAGGAATGTGACTGACTCACTTCAAACTGAAAATTTACAGCTTCAGTGATGCCATACATTATATCACACTGAATACAGGAGTGACACTCTCAATAAAATAGTATCATACATTGTGCTTGACCCATGTTGATACAGCCTTTTAAGTGATGTCTATTTTTCTTTCTACAGTTAATTACGATCTCTTATTTCGTAAGCTGCTTTCCATATGTGACAATGCCAGAACATATACCACCATAATCACAACGTGTGTTACCTTAGTTCTCTCACATTTTAAGTGGTCTTTCACCTTTTGAACCCACCTCAGAAACCCTGTTTCACGCGTTCATCTCTCAGTGAAGTCTACACAGTCACCTTCCTTGCTGTTTTTTTACTTCAACATACAAAAGCACTGGTGTATGTTAAACAAACCCCAGTTACACCCAGCTACTTAATCAGTTGACACTAGAAAATTTAACTTAATTACATCCATGCCACCTATTAGCAACATTTACTGAAATTGTCACAGACTCTTCTGCATTTACCCTGGCCTTACTCACCCCACAACTACTTCACAAATTTCACTTCAACAACTTCCAAATTCATCACCAGCATTAGCAACCCTCAGATTCCCCCTACCCCAAAAACTACATTTTTCAGCTGATCCTGTTTGGCAAGAAACACTGCTCCCTGACACAGTAGCAGCCAGTTTGTTTTCACTCTAATCACACACTCAGACCATCTGTCTGCCCACAGATACAGTATTCAGACACAGGGAACAGTTAGGTTTCAACCTATGTCATTTAGACTTCTGTCTCTTCCCTTGGAGAAAAGTTTGCACTGCAAAAGTGACAGGCAATGCCTAACCTGTCATCTGTAAACCCTGATTCAGATAGCCCATCCTGTTCCTTTGGAGTGCACTTAAGCTTATTTCAGCCTGCCAAAAAGTACCCAAACAAATGTCACCTGTCCAGCTCATGTGATGCAACTTAGTACAAACCTAAACTGTTTTTTTCTTTCTGACCCATACAGACCTGTAAACTGTCTCAGTCCATTAATGAGAAGAATTCTTACCATAGTCTCAGGTCTGTTGTTCTTATAAGCCTCTTAATACTGTAAGTCCAAAGAAGTGACTAAATCCACCCAGAGCCTATCCTGTCAGCTTGCTTCCATTATGGAAATTCACTCCCTCAGTGCTAATTACTCAATCAAACCAGGTGTGCCTCATTACAGAGGTTTTTCCATTAATAGTGGCTTTCTCACAAGTCACCTCTCACTGTGCGAACACACACCACGTAGTGAGCAATGGTGTGGTGTGTCTTGTTCCTCTGATATGCCCTACAACAACTCACCAGTAAAACATAACAGGTGCTTTAGCTTTTCTGATTTTGTGATACAATGGTCCATTCTTAGATTTTTAATGGCTTCCACTAGGTGACAACAAGGATCCATAACACTTATTGCAGCTTTTTTGGTCTGAGTGATGTACAAGAACACAGCAGAGAGCTCTCCTTACTACTCTTCCTGACCCCAAAGCATTCCATGAAAGACAGATTTGGAACAGGAACTGAGGTGGATTCCTACATTTTACTGCAAAAATAAATGTGAAATTAAATGTCTTTAAAGTTCTTCTTATTTACTTGTTATATCCAATGTTGCATTTGTACAGTCTCTGTTCTCTAATCCAAATTCTTAATGATTTATAGATATGTAAACTGATTAGTGGGAGTGTGAGGGAGAGTGTTTGAATGGCACTCAGACAATGCAAACCACAGCAGTAACATCATTGGGGTTTCTCAGTGTCAGTTGATCCCTGAGATGTGCATTCCTGAAACATTTAGAACTGTACCAAGAACACTGTTTTCCATGAAAACACACCCATGAGTTATTTTTTCCCATAGTGTCCATAATTTATTTTATTTCCATAACGGATTTATTTTCAAAGTTCACTTTCGTGTCTTTGCTAAAAACAGAAATAATGCAGTACAGCATTTACAGGAGGCATGCTTTTCGTCTTGCCGTATTTTCATAAAGCAAACACATCGCAGGTCTTTGTCAGTTCGGCGGCTGTTTTGGGGGAAAGAATTACATAAGCAGGAATGAATTTGTAATAATCAAACCAATACCTCATATTGATTGCAAAAAAATAAGAAACATCCATTAAATAAACACGAACGTTGCTTTCTTAAACTTGAAGAGCAATCAATATTCTCTTTAACATGAGGAAAAGAGCAATCATGTTCTAAAGAAACCACCAGCACTGCCATAAATCACACAAAAGCAGCCTGTAATTAGTTTTTTTAAGTGTGAAATTATTGTGTTCATGTCTGACAAGTTGGCACCAGTTCAGGTTCTTTTCAGCATCAGTTGTTAAGTGGCAGTGTGAGGTGCTCTGCTCAATGTGTCAGAAGAAAGTGAAAACAAGAAAGGCCCCAGCAAACCTGAGCGTCATATTTCTGCTGAAGTCTTTAGCCTTCTGCTCATCTCTGTTTTTACAGCAGTATAAAAATTATCACAAGTTTTGGATCTCAGATCTAAAGAATCCACCAAACGCTTACTGCATCACCTCATCTATTTGGTTTCACAGTAAGTTTTTCCAAAGTGTTTAGTTTTGAAATAGTTCTTGCAGCCACCCCCTTGAATCAGCTTTTAGGGGTTATAATATGGGACTATTACTTGCTCTGTGTCTGTGGCAGACATCTTTTTTTTTTTTAGCACTCTGAAATAATGTGTATAACGAATCCGTCCATGAAGATACAGTAGTGTGGGATATATAAAAATATGAAATGACTACTATAACACTCAAAGAAATTTGAATTTTTGATTTTAGTGAGACAACATCATTACATAAACCAGCCCGATAAGATATCTGTGGTTTTAGTAGCCTTAAAATACTACAATGGTAGAAGCTTTTACCATTTCCCATGGCATTTATATTTTAAATCTTGACATCTCACCTGCCGAAGCCAGCATTAATAGTACATATTGTCCCATAAAACATAACGAATTCAGAGTTACAGAAAACATTTTGAAGGTCATTTTTTTCATGGTGGCTGTTGTTTTGGGTCGCCTTTTACTGTGTCATCGTAAAGAACATAATCTAAATGATAATGCAGAAAGGAAGAGTAATATAGTGTGGGGTTATTTGAGGTATCTATTAAAACCCAGTTGTGATTACATTTTCCCTTCTATCGTGATGTTCTTGTGAAACCCACCAGACAGTCAAACATAATTTCAATTTCACCTCCAAGAAATTGTCACTCAAGAAATAATAGTAAGACGTTACCTCTTTGCCACACTGTTTGTTCTTTTTCATTATGTAAATTGATAAGCCACACCACAAAAGGGAATACAACATACCTTTCCTGTTTTAAGGAGAGCCCATACTTTATATGAAAAAGTTGGGGGATAGTGCAAAGCAAGGAGAAATATGTTCATACGATTGGGTCTTTTGGCAATGCAGTGAAAGGGCATTCTAATTTAAGTTGAAAGGGCAAGAAAGCCAATGATAAATAAAACGTTCTAGTTAAACACAAATGAAGCAAAAATTCATTTTTCGTTCCATTACACATACAGTACACCTGAAATCAAGGCTCAACTGGACTGGTGAAGATGCCTGATTTGAGACTCTCATGATCTTGACATCCAGAGTTAAAGTCTGGGATATGTCACTACCAGAATGTGATGGGGATTCCTTTGGCAGTGAGACACAGTTGGCTCAGTTCGACCAGCGATAGGGTTAGGAAACATTTTCCAGATCTTTCTTTGTTCCTGTGACCTCAGGCTGCCTGTAGTGATGTCAGTGAGGAGATGTTGCTCCTGTAAAGGGTGCTAAAGCTCCTGTCAATCACAGTCGATCCCGAGGTGTGTCATTAGATGAAAGGCTTGATGACTGAGTGGGTTAAAGGAACCTGCCTGTGCTTCCTCATTGTATCTGTACAGGGGGTGTTGCTCTGGACTAAGATTTAAAGACACAATGATTAAAAACTGGGTGGGTATAGAATAGAATATAATTCACTAGTTTGGTCAAATTCTAATGAACTCAAAAAGATGCATACAGAGGAACAGAAGATTTAATATTTGGAGTTAATGTTTTAATGTTTTTAAATTTAATGTTTTTAATGTTTTTAATTTAACGTTTGGAGTTAACTTGCCTGGATAAGGAATAGAAAGCAGAAAAAAGTATGTACTCCCCAAGATGAATGGCAGGGGGAGTTCAGAAAGGAACAGCATGCAATATCACAGAAATAAATGCTCATTTTTATACCTTTGTACAGGATTCTTGATTTGGTTAAGATACAAACTCAATTCATCACCAGCACTGTCGCTATCAAATGGTGTAAAACTAGAACACACATCTCTCAAACCCCCCAGATAAGTTTATTTCCCAGACATGTAAAAAGCAAGTTTTACTCTGCAAGTAGTTAAGAAAGGGATGTGCACTTAACATTATGGAGAATGGTGCTTATTCAAGGTTTACTTTCTAAGGTTTTTAATTCTGAGAAACAAAACATGCTCTCCATTGTCTGAAAGTGGCTATAAAATAATGACGGTGTAAATCAAGTAGAAGACAAGAGTGGTATGGAAAAGAAAATGAACTGATTATTTTTGGAAAATAGTTTTGGAAAACTGGCAGGACTTTGAAGCCAGTTTTATACTGAAATCATAGCTGAAAGTTCTGCTGACCATGGTGTGGTATTTGACACAGGACCACTGCACACAAATGGCTCTGTTATACAGTAAAGTTAGAGTTCAAATAATTATGTATACCTTGTTGCATAATGGTGAAATTTACTGTGACTCCAGTATGTCTGACCAGGTCAAACACATGGTTGCTCTCACACTCTTCTTTCCTTCATTGATGGTGTCTAGACTTGGTCAGCTTCAATCCATTCAGTAAGATGTGACTGACTGTCTTTTTCACAACTGAAGGCAGCTTGCACCTAATTAAAAGCGATCATATGTTTTTGTCAAAATACTAAAAAAGAAAAGGGATTAATAAATGTGGTTTAAAACGCATCAAAAATCGCTGTTCAAATAATAATTTGTAACCACACTACATACCAGATAATCATAAAGTTCAGACAAAGGACCAGTAGTTAATCTGATGCTCTGTTATAGGATTAACTCTAAATTGTTATGAGAAACATTGTAAAGGTCTAATAGGTTTATTTTTTCTATCTTGAGCTTGCTCAGTATTTTCTGTCGTTTTTTCTGATGTGTGCTAGGACTGTCCCCTTTGTGCTGCTCATTGTCAAACAAGTAATTACTTTGAACATTGCATTGCGTGACAGAAAATGTGTTCTTGTCAGGTGGCCTGAGCAAAGATGATGGAACATCATTTCAGTTTTAGACACTCTGTAGCAAAGGCCCAAACCCTGTGATAGCAAGAGGTGTCATAGTCAGGGAATGATGCTGGCATAAAGGTCAGAACATGAAGAATGCAGCATCCCTTAATCCACAATCACTAGATTCCAGCAGTTCCACCAACTGATATGAACCTCAGAGACAGTCGGTGATGCAGAAGTAATTACTAACCATCAACAATCTGAGGAATCCAATCTGCATATTATCAGCAATGGCTTTCATCATAGCTGGTCTGGGCTTCACTGAAGGAATATAAACCTAATTGCAGTCACCAGACTGTTCCAATTTGCCAAGTTGACAATCACAGCTCAAAATCCCTGGATGTAAGATTGTAGTTGATGATGTATGCACTATAGCAGAAGAATCATAATGCTTATAACAGGTTTGCAGATTTTCCCTCCAGCATTATTCTAAATGGAAAGGATCTGACCCTAATTGCCTATTTTCCTATTTTTTTGCTAGTTTTATTTCAAGTTTTGGTGTTCACAAAAATAAAAAAATATGTTGCTTTCAAGTACAAAACTGAAAATTACAGCATCGATTCACCTTAACCATTTACATGCCAGTATTAGGTATAATATTCAGAATAGCCGATAGAGCTCAAGTCATGTGATGTAGAGGCTGTTTCTAAGACATTAAGGTACTACAGAGTAGTTTGGTTTCACAGATTACTTTGCTTGCACTGCTGCTAACTCCTTCAAGAATGAACAGTCAAGGAAATACATTTTTACTAACAATAAAATGCTGGCATAGGTGATGGATAGTTACATGTTCACACCATAACACTGATTAAAAATCAGAAGATCATTTAGAATGTTAACTAAAAACAAGAGGTCAGACAGTAGAGGGTCTCTTTGGAATTAACATTAAGCAAAACAATACTACCTGTACTTGCAGGACTCCTGACTGACTGAGTGCAGGTCGGTTTGGGTATAGAAATGTAAAAGGATTTTAAGACAGTTTCTGACATTAAAAAAAAACTGCAAAAGGCTTTGCTGCAGTCTTCCTTTCTTTGTGAAAAATCTAACCCATGTTTCTACTAATAAGGACAAGGCATAAAAATGATACTGCATTTAATTGTGCACTTAAGTAAATGTTCTGTATGTAGACAAGATAGAAAGACAGTATTAAGGCAAGAAAACTGTGTTTATATGGATAGGTTTTTATTACTTTTCACAATAAGAAAAGATTCAATGTTCAACTACAAATAAAGTAAAATTAAGAATTGGTAAAATTAGTGTTATGTATAGAAAGGTGACAAGTTAGAAAGAGACTGGATGATGTGAGAGCCAGGTGTAGACAGAGCACAGACAGTGCATTCCTTAGATGAGGAATGAGATCTGAAACGTCTTAGTGCCACAAGAAATGGTATTGTTTTAAAATATTTAAGCACATAGAATATTCTGTACTTTTGACTCATATTCATCTGTTCATCACAAATCTGACATTCTTGAGTATACAGCAAGAATAGCAATTTTGACTTCACTGTCCAAATACTTATGGTAGACGCTCTACTATATATAACATTTCCTACTGTACATATGTAGTAGCATTGCAGGAAAGCAAGAAGGGTCTTTATTGTTTAACACCTCTTGCTCCCTGCCTAGGTTAGGGACTTTTCTAAAATAATTTTCTAACCTTGATCCTGTCTATCTCTTGCAGAAGAAGTTGACAGCAGAATGCGTGTTCAGGGAGCAGTTTGAAGAGAATTGGTACAACACATATGCTTCAACACTCTACAAGCACTCAGACACAGGAAGGTATTATTACGTTGCCTTAAACAAAGATGGCTCACCAAGAGAAGGAAACAGGACTAAGAGACATCAGAAGCTAACTCATTTTCTGCCAAGGCCAGTGGAGATTGAGAAGATACCCTTGGCTTACAGGGACCTGTTTCAATATAGGTGACAGGATTCCTCACACGGTGTGGAAGGGGCATGTTTTGAGAAAACCCTGGCAGGGAAGGTTTGAAGATCTCTTCTGTCCCTCATCTAGTTGTGTGTTTTGTATTTGTTTCTCCGTTATCAAAATGCATAATCATTAGTATGCACTACAAAGGTTATGAATATAAATGTGTGTTCCTGGATTTATTCATTTCAATTTCCTGTTACAAACTGCACTTCATAGTTAAGAAACTATTAATATTAATGCCAATAGTTGTCAAACAAACGTCTGCATTTGTTTTAGAGCAACTTGGCAGCTCATGTAACTTCATGTGAATATTTGAATCTTGCTCAGTCTTAAGGTGATCTCTCCCAGGTGTTATACTTTTTTCCTGAAGAACATCTCAAAAATATGAAAAACCAAGATACTTTAATACCACATCAGATTGTTCCAGTTAGACATTTAAATGGTACAGTGTCAGATGACTTGATCCTAGATCAGGTGACTAACTTCTCAAGGCTGAAATCCATCTAAATTCTGCTTTCTTTATCTCTGTGTAGCAATTTTACAAATTTAGTTTGCAAAGACTGCTTTTAGTCCCTCATTTATAAGTGCCTTACAAACATAGCCAAGGAAAGATCTGTGGAAGAATAAAACACTTGCAAATATAACGCCAGAAAGGATGAAAAGATAAGCACCTCTTGGTACTGTACAGCTGGGAGATATCATAGCTGACTGCCGAGTCTGCTGTTCTCAATCTAGCCCCTATGGTGTGGTTTTCCTTGTATCAAACAAAGAGTTTTAAGTGGCTTTTGAGGTAGACTTAAAGTGGTAATCTAGGGTCTGATAGAAAAATGGTCTTTAAACCCCTATATGAATGGTCCATCCAGGTTGGTCTTGTGGTAAATTACTAAACCTCTAATAGGCACATTGTAACTGCTAGATGTGTAGCCATTCTGATGACACATAGATTATTGTCAGTGCAGCCCGTCTAGTAGATTTCATAAGACTGAAATACAGTATAACAGTGTACTGCTGACACACTGTAGGTAGCCTCTACCAAGTCTGAAAGACAGCAGTGGCTAGTCAAACACTTCCAGTACAGAATTCTATTCCCATAAATGGTGTTAACTTTCTAACAAATGCTTATCAGAATCAATTGAATATTTAAGAAACTGCAAGAACCATGGGCCAGATTAAGTCAAAATGTCAACTCACCTGCTAGTCACAAAGTCTAATCCACTATACTTGGGCAGCAGTCCATTAGTTAAATACAAGAGCCTCTGACAAACAGAAACCTGCCATCAAGTAATGTGTTTAATATGTACAATTGGCAGGAAGATCCTGATAAAGACATAGATGGGGCCTATGCAATAGACTACAGAAACCTACAGTATGTTAGCAAATGATGGCTAGATGCCATCATTGATAACACAGATGGAATACACCTGGTGTCTGGCAATTGAAGTAATGCGTTTGAATAAACTAATAAAAATGACAGAGGACAAGAAAAAGGAGTTCCCCCAAACCCAACTTGGGTATTTCCCAGATCAGTTTTCCCAAAAGGGAGTCTTTCTTGCTAGAACTGGATAACCTCCAGTACAAATCATTGGAAGACAAGCACCCATCTTTCTGACAATTAACAAAATACACTTAAAAGAAAAGCTGCTGCAATTAAGCTTCAGGCTGTTTCAGCTTTTTCAGACACAAAAAGCTATTGTTTTCCCTGCTGAGAGCAGTCAATAAGTATGTTATGTTGGCTTTTGAACTGAGAATGACTTGTAATGTTCCAGGTGTGGGGAACATTATTAAATTGTGAGCAAAGGTGGTGTATGTTTTGGATAAAACTATTTATGAGATGTACATTATATTTATTTTCTATATATTTATTTATTGAAAAGAAATTTATTTTGTAATGAACTTGAAAATTAAACAAAATGTATTCTACTGAAAGGACTAGATCTAAAAATAGTAATAAAAATGAATGAACGACAATAAAATTGTCCTGAAATCTGAAACTCTGTGACTGAAATTGTCTTTTACCAACATTTTATCTGACCAGCATCAACACATTTTCTCTTTCACGTCTCTTCATAATAAAACCAACAAGAAAGTACTCATCATGAAAACATGGTGTCGATCCATATGACTATTACTGAGAAATACCTAGTCTCAAACAGATACCTCATGCGGCATGCCACACTCTTATATGCGCTGAGCACTTGACTTCTGTTAACAACACCTGTGCTCAATAAACTCAGGAAAAGTCTACAATTGGCCAAAATGTATTTTTTTCTGATAAGCTCTATACTAAATATATGTATGAACATTTAAGTTGATAATTTGTGATAAATCTCATATTCCTAATGAGCACATCATGACAGTTTGGCCTTTTCAGAAAGGTTTTTCCTGTAGCTACTTTACTTGCAAAGCCTTATGATGGGAATTGTTATATCACGTCTTTATTACTAGCGTACAAGGGGCTCTTAATGGCCTGTTCTAAATTTTGCCATTTAAGTTATGACTACCTAATAATACAATGAGCAGAAATCATTGAAAACTTAACTATATTTCTTGAAGGGGTATTGGGCTTTGCAAGATTAAGATGGCGAAATGACAAAGGTGGACAAATTGAGTACAGTGTAAATCAATAACATTAAAAACAAACTACAAGATATATAAAGAGCAAACACTAAAATTCTCAGGCTTACAGAAACTCCCAGTTTTTCCACTTTTGTTTGAAATCCAAAACAATGCAAAATTGCTTTCATTCTGATCTATCTCTCAGGAGACCTGGAAACTCAAACATGGTCTTGAATCATCTACAGTATGAGACAGCTTTTCTGTAACTTGTAGAGAAATAAATCACGCTATTGTGCCAATATTAAAAGAGAGGCTTCTAGGCCTGTGGTGAATGTTTTTTTTAGAAAAAAAATGTCTGCTTAAAAAATACAGAGTACAAAAAAGCAGCCCTGTTTGTATATGGGAGATGGGATTTCAGAGATATTTCCCCATTTGCTTTGTCAACTCTCTGGCCAGTCTTGTGGTACTTTATATTCTTTATTTGCAACAATCCATCGAAAACCCATCCATCCATTTTCCAACCCCTTCAGCCAGTTCTGGGCCTCTGGGGAACCGGAGTCTATCCTGGCAAGCAGTGGGCGCAAGGCAAGATACAACCTGGATGGGACGTCATTCTGTCGCAGGGCACACACAAGCACGTACTCACACACCAGGGCCGGTTTTCCCAGAAGACAATTAATCTACTGTACCAGTATGTTTGGACTGTGGGAGGAAACCAGAACACCCAAAGAAAACCCACACAAATGTAGAAACTCCATGCAATTGACACCCAAGATCTGGAATTGAAACAGATCTGCAATACTAACCAGTGCAATGTCGTGACTCCCCCATTGAAAGCCCTTTAGATTTAAAACATTCAAATAGTACGTTTGGATTTAGGAGAACTGATGAACCTAATTTGCCGTTATCCAATGCTTTGTTAGAAATCGAAATTGCTCAGCTTCTTGTCTTGCAAAGATGCAACACCTCTTATCTTGTTTTCCATTTTGACCTCTTTATGTAATTTTGGAAGGTTTCCAAAATGAACATTATAACATTTTAAGTTTGCCTTCCAAAGCCTAAAAAGTATATTCAGAAACCATATGTATGCCAGAATCACTGGGAGCCATGGCCATCACTGGCAATAGTAAGACTGTGGATTTGGCCTACAGATGGTAATCTCAGAACTGTGATGGGATGGGATTAACATTTCAACATCTGCAATAGCTGTAATGTTTCTTCTTGGCACATTTTTGTAAGCTGCAAATGCAAGCTCCCTTGGGAAGGAAATGGAAAAGCAAAAGAGAAAAAAGGAAAAAAAACATACTGGCAGCCGGAGAAATGAAAACAATTCTGAAAAAAAAAACTGCAGATGGAAGATTGAGGGAAAGGGGTGTTGAGATAGAAGCAAATGGTGTGAAAAATGAAACGGTTCCACAAGGAATTCATCTGGCCATTGCACACTCCTGATTACTTAAAGATTTGTAAGGAACCCATTTTCAGTTTTTCATATAGGTTATTGTGTGAGGACGCAGTAGACATGAACAAAATGTTAGTTTACAGTTTACACTAAACGGTACTGGTGGGGGGAAAAGTCGATTGGGAATGGCTTTTAAAAGACAATGCAAGGAGCTATTTCATTTCAAACTACCTGTATGGCAAAAAAACCCACCTACGTATTCCTGAATTTAAACATAGGAACACAAAGGAAGATGAGAAAGATTAAAAAGTATGAAGTGTATTAAAAAGAAAAAATGCTTTTGTCTGTGATGACGTTCTGAAGGTATGGAGGGAACTACAAGCAGGTGTGGCTCCTCTAATTACCCACAGGGACGACCCTGGGTTGACAGGTAATGAAAGTCAATTGTTTTGCTGGAGTGCATATTGGGAATGCTCTGAAGTTCTCTGGAAAAGAAATATGGAGAATTTGGTCATCAAAAGACAGATCCCACAGGATTTACAGGTCTCTTTACTTTTTCATCCTCTAAAGATCTGGGGGAAAATGGTAACTGTGACTCATGTAAGGTACAAAATTAAAGTAATCAAGGCTACCATCATGGTGGTATCAAGAAGGGGGTCTGAGCATCTGCGCTCTGGATTAGAATTTGGCTGCTGACGTGCTGCAGTATGAAATTGCGATCATCATTAGGATGTGCTAGAAGAAATGTAAATTAAATGATACCAAGTCCCCAATCCCAAAGGTCTTTGAGAATGACCAGGCTCCATATCAATTGCTCTCCCTGCTGAAGAAATTTCCACACAATGGAAAACCAAAATTGAAAAACTTTTCAAATGAAACCTCATTTCCTGAAAAGTGCAAATCTCCTACAGGCAGCACTTCACAGCATGATGTTAGGAAAAATTAAGGAAGAGAGGAAATTCTCTGAATTTTGCCATGATATAGTCATAGTTACTGAATTGTATATTCTGGTAATTGGATTTCACAAAGAACATTGCAGTATCAAAGTGACTTTTCATGAAGTGGCATACATATACATTGATTCCTTTTATCTGAGCTATTCACTTTTTCTGTAATATTTCTGTAAAATTGTAAAAATGTAAAAATAGTCTGTTTCATCAATCACTTTAAAATTGGTTTGCCGATATATATGACAACCTCTGAAAAATTCACATTAAAGAAAAAAAGTCCCCATCAGATGTACAGAAATAGTATCGAGTCATATGAGTGAGATGAAAATGTCAGAGTAGCACAACATAGTACCACCACTCTCTAGAAAAAGATACTTTCTGAAAAAGCCTGAGAATCAGTGATAGGTTGAATGGAATACTGCCAAAGAGCTAAAAAATTCTTCAACACTAGTACCCCTCTAACTCAGACCTTAGTGTTGACACTGGCACACTTTGATACAGTGGTAGCAATAGTGTCAGGTGAATGAGCTGAACAGATTCTCACCGCAGCTTGAATAACATAATCGCTCCTCTGGTGAAACCACTCTATTGTGCAAGACATAAAGAGAACATTTTTGGAAATATTGCAGTCAAAATATGACCCTTTCAGGCTTTATTATTGTATTGTACTGTATTATTGCCAACGTACTGTATGCTACCTATCAAAACAAAATGGTGATCACTATCAACAATTTTTAATAACATTAAGCCCTGCTTTTTGTGGATTTACTTCTGGTTATGTTCCCGTGTTTTAAGAGACATAAGCCAAAATGTGCTTTCATATGTAAGTTTTTTTTGTTCCATTTCTTAAATACAGCCTTCCATCTACAAGTCTTTCTGAAAATTACCTAAGGATAATGATCATTGCTAACCTATGTCACGCCCACTCCCTGCTTCCTGCTCTTGGCTCCTAGAGAATCCTCAGAGTTGATGGTTTTTAAGCAATCACAGCATTTAATTAACATGATGTGTGTAAGGATTACATTATTAGTCAATGATTTTCTTCACTCAGTTCTTGGTCTTAGAAATAGACCTCCAGCACTAGGTTCACTGCTTACAAAAACAGATGGAATTGTTCTCAACTATCTTATCAGCTCTTAATACTGTACATGATAATTAATGATATCCAGGCACAGGTATAAATTACAATGTACTGTATCAGTACCCCTGGAATCATGTTTCTTATTTCTGCAGGAGCCCAGGTGTTTCCAGACATGTGGAAACAGAAACTTGAGTGAGACAAAGTCCTGAAACCCAATCTTTGTTACCACAGATCCTTTCCTGAGCTCATAATGGCTCAGATGGTTTTAATCCAAGAAATAATGGAACAGAATTCAGAAATAAAGGTGGGGAACACCTGTCAATAAAGCAATTAAACTGACACTAATGTATCAGTGGATTAATCAATGTTGGTTAAATTTGTAATTATGAATTCATTTTAATTAAGATAGTGTTACTCTGTTGCTTTTCATGTCAGTTCTTATTTTGGGGGACTGGGAGGACAGAAACCAACAGTGGAAAATGTAAGCCAAGGCCCAAGTCCCTCTAAATTAAAATGGAATATCTCAATACACAATACTTGCACTCAATACATTAGTGTAAATGAAGACCCAGGGACACCACTGGAAATGATGTAACACAGAGAATTGTGGGAGTAAACAGCGTGCGACTGATGAATTCTTAGAACATGAAGGTACAGGCAACCAAACTAGCTTTGTGGGTCGAGTGGTTTGCAACCTCTCATTATTTGCATCTAATTATTAATAATTTTTATCTGTGTACAACTGACCATGATGGACAAAAACCACATATGGTAAATGGGTTAGATATGGTACACTGATGATGGTAACTGTTTTCTTCTCAATTTCCTGAACTGTGACATTTACCATGGATATATTTCTACGTGTAGTTCAACATGCTCTCTGAATACATTTCTACTTGCAGTGATTTACAATGTATTTCTCTGAGCACTGTCACACACTATTAACATATTTCTGCTTGCACTGTGGCATACAAGATGAATTGCAATCCGCTTCCAAACTGTGCAGGCCTTTATGCCTCTTGTAGCTAAACACTGTTGTGCTGTAAGCCTTTCAAACGCTGGTCTAAAACCAAAACCCTCCGTTAGCAATATCCTAAACGGTAACAAGGAAAAAGTGCATATTGGTTTGTGTGAATTTAAAATATAAAACATACATTGAAATGTAGCACTGGGAAAGAGTCAGGTTCATTGTGCTTTGGAAAAAAATCCACTTAAATCAGGATTTCTAAGGTAAAAAGACTAAGAAAACTAAAAAAAAGAAAAGTGGGGTAGCTTGTTCCAGTCTCCTACACCCTACATTTTTATGTTATTGCCATTCCCACACAAGACATACAAGACACAAACTGGCAATTTCCAGCACCCCAACAAACCTTAGTACAATTTGTGCAAACTGGATAACCTTATCTGAGTTTAAACAATGCTAACATGAGATTTTTTTTAATAATCTGTGCATTTTCTTCCTCCTCCATTTGATCTTTTTGCAGACTTTCACTCATTTTAGTGAACATCAATGTCACAAATCAATGCATTCACCCAGCAGCTGGATTTAATAATGCTTGGAAGGACCATATAACATTGCTTTTTGTGATGAAAAAGGCATTTTTCTTGTACTTCTACTCTTGAACTTTATAAGCCAGTTTTGCTGTACCTGTGTAGTCCCAGAAGTAGAGCTGATCATACTGGAGGGATAAGGGGAGGAGCCAAAAGCACCCTCCATCCTCATGAGACCTGGGTGAAACACACCCAGTCAAAGCTCACTTGCAGTACTTTGGGAACTGGAAGGAAGCCAGATCATGGAGCAGAAAGCCATGTGATGACAGAGAACACACACAGCACACAACACAGACGGGGACAGAGCAGAAGACTCAGAAATTGTGAGCCCATGGGTCTGACTAGCAAACCACTGTGTATCCCTGTTTAAGTATTGCCATGTTAACTCACAAAATTATATTCCATTTGATTTTATTTGGTTTTGCAGTATCCTTTTACTATTCCTCATAGAAGTTCCTAATAGAACTATTAACTTCTACCTTAGCTTTATATTGCCCCCTTGAAAAAAAAACTTTGGTGCATAAATAGTTCTTAAAATCTGGTTTATCTGTGTATACTGCATAATATTAAACTCTGGCAGGCCCTACCCTTGGGTAGATCAGGTATTGTACATTTACTAATGTCGGAAGCAACAGGGATGGATTGAAATTATATTGGTGCCTTTTTGTATGCTTTCTTTAAAAAAAACAATATTCACACAAGGTTGGAACATTGTTAGAACTTAAAGAGTTAGAACTGTCATCTCAGAGCTTCCAGGTCCTGGTGTCATTTCTGAACTGAGGTACCTTTTGTGTGGAGTTTGCATATTCTCTCCATAATAACGCGGTACACCTGTTTCCTTCCACTAGGTCAACTGGTGTCTACAAGCTGTCCGTGTGTCTTCCCTCTGAAGGACTGAAATCCCATCCAGGGTGTAGTATCGCCCTGGGCCCTGTGTTTTCCCAGAGGAAACACTCTGGCAAAAGGTTTGCCAAGAACCTCAACAGACAAGCGGTTTCTCTGATCCTGGATGGATGGACTATTCAGGCATACTTAATAACGCTCTTGGCTTCCTTTTTAGTTTGAGAATTTTTATTTCAAGGCGTTTGTCTCCATTCAAACTGAGCATGCTTAACAAGTTATTGCCGTCAAAGCAAGGTTAAAAGGGTAACCCTGGGCAAAGGAAATCAAAACTCATGAGACAAAGAAAAGTATTTCTAATAATTCCACCTTGCGGCAACAGTAATGTTGAACTCTGACAAGTGCAATAAACACAGTTATAAATACAAGAAAAACACCTTTTGGTCACTTTATTAATCTTGATATTAAATATGTATCTAGTAAATAGCAGGTTAATGGCAAAACACAGTTAGGTGTATTTCTAGCATGAAAACATTCTCGGGAGAGAAAAAGAGTCCCTGTACATTTTCTAAAATACACCTTGTGCAATTAGAGGAGCTCTGGTCTCCAGTACGAATTACATTGTTTTCAATTAATCAAACTGTCATCACAGCTGCGCAAATTCAGCATTTGAAGTTAGATGTGCCAAAACAACTACACAAGTGGGACAAAACCAGGAACAGTACCACAGTACTATGCTAATTAACACTTTACAACAAAAACTCAAAGAGATTACAAAAGTTCATAGAATACAGCAAGCAGTTGAAACACAACACAGGCAGTCATTTATTTTGATTTAGCAACATCTAGAATAATCACCTCTAAGCATTATACAAAAAAGTCCAATATTCAACACATTTATTAATAATTCTGTATTTATGTATAAGAACTAATTATAAGGCTGCAACATTTTTTTTCCTTTTTGGTGTTGATACAATTGTCTCCTGGAGACAATTACCATATCATTCACCATGAAACACTAATTAAAGATTGGCAAAAGTATTTTAGAAGGGAAGGAACACCTCTCTTCAAGGCAGCAGTTCATAAATTAATTTTAAAAAAGGGTGTTCATACCATCTGCAACTGTACTGTACGTGCACACAAAATAAAAGTTCAGGTCACATCCAGCCGGAAATGCAGGGAATTTTTAGAAAGGTAAAAAAAGGACCACTGCCTAGATAAACATACTGTACTAACACGTCAAGAAAACTGCAGGCGGAATTTATTTCATTAGATTTATTTATTCCACCTGATTGTTTTTAAATTAAATGTGTAGCGAGCAGTACTGTGGTCCCAAGAAACCATTCTGGATCAGAATATGAGGAAGTCCTATACTTTCTCCAATATTTTCCTTTTAGTGTGTGTGAGCTTGTTTGGAGTTAAAACCATAGTCCGGGAGATTACAGGCGATAAAATAATATAAACTTCAAAAGCATTTTTTTGGGGGAAAAAAATCTATTTAAAAGATTTAAAAGAGAATATGATATCTAGAATAACATTAAGGCTATATATACAATTTCAAAACAATTGCAAAATCCCTTCAAATTGTCTTCAAGCTTTGCATACATCTCAGGACAGCCTTTCTTCTAGATGGAGTGGTGCTGTATAATTCAGCTGTTGGAGTCTGTTAAGGAGTACGGACTTCAAAATCACTTGTTCTGTTGCACTTCCCAAACTGCAAGTGCCTGCCTTTTCTAATTCCCTTGAGACGGACCTGGGTTTTTGCTCCTCATCTGAGTTGTGGGAGATGGAACCCTCTGCAGACCTGGAGGCTGCAGGCCACCACTGAGCTGCTGGTACAAGCTCAGCAGATCCAGCTGGTTGAAGCCATGGGCGCCCATGACCCCCTTCTGCATGGCCATTTGGTTCATCAGGTTGGCCCGATTTGCCAGAGCCATTTGCTGCTCGTGGACTTTTCGGTTGGTCAGCACCTTCTGGACATACATGATCAGCTGTCAAAAAAAAAAAGGAGGCTTTATTATTCACGCCATCTCTGTTTCAATTTGATTGTCACAGAAATAAAACACTGGCCAGCCTTGGTGTGACCAGTGACCATGGTGGTTGTGTTTCAATAAATGGCAGGGATAGAAACATAGCCTGAACCTGCGTTTTATACAGGTTGGGCTTCTCCTGCCACTGCAAGGGAATTTAGACACATTGGCAAATGCCACAGCACAACACCAGCTTAGTTAGATAGATACTTTATTGATCCTGTGAGGGAAATTGCAGAATGACCGTGCAAAAATTCCCGTACTCCAGTCTACTCCGAAAACATCTATTCCGTTTTCTGTTTTGATGGCTTTTATGCTACATTACCCATTTTCTATTGCTTTTTACAACTGGTGTACTATTTCATGCGATGATTGAATATATACTGCTATTACATGCAAAATGAATCTGTCAAACTGGACAGAAATTAATAGCAATTGATTAAGCAGTATTTTAATTATCACAATACGAGATAGAACGAGTAAGTAACTGCAATGCAAAATTGCTCATTAAAAGTGATACAATTAATCGGTTTGTTCTGGAACATGTAAGTTGAAGTAGTATGTGAAGACAATGCACTATGTTTCACTTTGTGAGGTTGTCACCTACTTAATTCCTCCAGTAACAGTATTTTGTAACTTTAGTAAATAAGGTGATTGAAAGGAGTTCTAACCAATCCCATATTTTCTCTAGATCTTGCTGGAAAACTTCAGCAGAAATGTCAAACTGTGTTAAGTGCCTCCCTGCCCAATAACAGTGAAATCTGGATATCAGAAAGTCAATTATACATTGCTGAAGCAAAGAAGTGCTAACAGGAAGTACAGACTTGCTTAAAATAAGATAACATTCAGTGCTCAAGACATTAAAAAAAGATCTTCCAAAAGTGAATGTCGCCAAATGGGTTAAAAATTAAAATTCTATTCGGGGCACTGTGTCGCTCATTCAGCATCTTTCATGTCACAAAGCATCAATATAAATTATCTAAATATTTGGTTTAAGATATCAGGCCCTGCAGAGAGTGATGGAAAGCAGTAAATCAAGAAATGTATTTCTTATTTGATCACACACTCCAGAAAGATGAACTACTCTTAAAAAGTCTTCATATTTGTAGATTTAGAACAGACTTTCTTGCAAGTTAAAGTGGTGCTTACAAAAGACAAAGATGTAAAGATTTACATAGTCAGCAAATTTCTGTAAGAGGATCTTGTAAGAGAAGCAAAAGAAATGACTTTGAGCCCTGCATGAAGTAAATGATGCTCCAATTGTGGAGAGCTGACAGTACACTACATAGCAAGGGATGTTACTACAAAACCACCTTAAAGGTATATTCAGTACTTTAAATCTTTCTTATCTTTTGATGTATTCTATTCTACTACAATGTGTATTATATATAAACTATTCACTGAGATCATAACTTTTTTTAAATATTAAAAGACACTGCTCTCTGCACAAAACAGTGTATTTTAATTGCAGTGGAGCTTGCGTGAGTCTTCAGCATTGTTAGTGACTTAAAACAGTGCTGGATGCAAACTAGTGTAAAAGTTGGAAGCAGGTAAACCTCAACAATGAAAAGCCATTTGCTTTTTAAAAGCATCAAATTTCAAAGACATGAAAAGGGAGTGTAGATCCAAGATGCAAATGTTTCTCAGCCTCTCCTGTAAAAACCACAGAATGACCTTACTGTTTGCTGCTTGCTCAGGACATCTCTGTACACAGCCTCCCTGCGCTTCAGCTCCAGCTCGAGACTCGCCTGTCTGCCCAGAGCCATGGACTGAACCTGCGCTTCATTCAGGTTGGGGTTCTCTTGCCACTGGAAGAGAATTCACACACACTGGTCAATGCCACAACACAACACCAGCTTCATGACCCCGCGCAATTTCCCATACTCCAGTGTACCATTTTCCATTTACAAATTACTAGATTCTGAAGGCCAGTAACCTAGGTTTGGGCAATCACTAAATCCCCAAATTAAGTCGCAAGTCTATTTTTATTCTATTCATTTTCCATTTGCAATACTATGCAAATCACAAATTTTCATGATTCTGCGTTGATGGTTTTAATGCCACCTTATCTTTTTCCTGTTTTTTTACACCTGACATACTACTTCATGATAAAATTAAAAGTGTTGAATTGAAAAAAACTAGGAAAGCAATACTACATTCACGTAGTTTTAGCTCATCTGTTCAACTGGACATGCTAACCTCCAGCTGACATGAGCAGCAATCGATTAAGCAGTAGTTTAATAAAAGAACAACAGTGAATTAGAATGATGCTACAGGAAGTTAAGAATTTGTGCTCCAATTTGTCCAGATTTATTCACAACCCTATGGAATGGGGCCAGAAGTATTATGTCAAAAGAAAGGTTTATGGATTAGGTAGGGTTCTTTCTGGAAAAAAACAGTATATTGTAATAATTTATATTATTATACAGAGTAAAATGTCATATTTGTCAGAATTAATTTATGTCCAGAAAACACAAGTGTAACATTTATTCACATCCATGTAGTTATTTTGTAAATCCTCCTCTGACAGGGATTACACTGACGAAAAACGTGTCCTGTACTGTGACATCATGTTCTGGCACTTATGAGGGGGTTTGTGGTCATCAGGTAGCATTGCTCTCAGTCTCTTTAGACCCTTTAGTTTCCTTCAGAGCCTTCTTGAGACTGAACCACAAATGTGCAACTGCTTTGAGTTTAGAGATTGAGATGGCCAGTCAAGAACATTTGTGTGCAGTTGACCATTTCTTTGTTTTGTTTGGAAGCATGTTTTGGATCAGTGTCATGTTACTGAGTTCATTTTCACCCAAGCATGAGCTTTCAGAGAACCCGGTGTCTGGCCAAAATGTCCAGGTCATATTGGAGTTTAGAATTCTCCATTATCTTTATCAAGGCTCAAGGACTCACGGGTACAAAACAACCCCAAAACATAATAGTCCTCCTGTCACATTTCACAAAGGAAATGAATGGCAATTCAAAATAGTAATTGGTGACACTTGAAATATCGAAGACTCTAGTTTGTTGGAGACCATGTGCTGACTTCAGATTACAGAAGACCTGAATCTCTTGCCTCACAGCCCGTGGAGGCCAAATAAATTGCATCTTCTATCCAACAGCCTTTCCTTTATACCAGTAGACTTCAATTTAAATTAAAAATAACGGATACTGAAGTGGAGAGAGGCAGATTCAGGTTCTTGAGTGTTCTGTTATAGACATTCCCCCGTTTATAGAGCCATTGCCTTCTCATTTGTCTTCAGAGAGCTCTGTGACCTTAATCAAAATGATGCATGTTTCCACCCACTGTCTTTTTTGTATCACCTCCCTTTATACCCTAGGAGAACAAGAAACCTTCAGGTCTCTGCCTAGATCTGCTTTCCATTGCATTTCCAAACAGCAGAATGTTAATATAGATTTTTGAGGAATTGTATTTCTTTTATTCCAATGACATTCCAATTAAAATAATATTTTAATTTTTAAGTAAGATACTCTCCAATCCACAATGCTGATCTTAGCATCTAAATCTGTCACAGGATATTTTGTGTTCCATTTTAATTGAATATATACTATTGGATAATGAAACTCAGCCAGCAAATCTGTTCACATATGAAGACTTGTTTCTGCACCACTGTGAAATAGAAAAAGAGCATTACACTGCTCCTGGAATACATCCACTTTCTGAAGAGTACAGTCTTCCTTAAGGAGGTTACACTTTTATGTATTATAAATGCTTTTGATTACTTATGTTTGACTCTTCATTCCACACAACAATGGAATTTTAAGAATGACAACTCTAAATGTAATCCAGCTATAGACCCATTAACAATACTACAGTAATCGTATTCTAACCTATTGTCCAGCTCTTCACTAAGAATGTACAGAATGTACTCACAGACTAACTTTTTTTCTTTTTCCTTCCATTTAATCACCATTCCACTGATTTGATTAAAGGTATTACAACTGAAAATTCATGTTATAGAACACTACAGTATGGCTGACAGCAATAACAAGGAGAGTTACTAACATATATTATTGGCTGTACTGTAAGCCTTTATTTTTTTGTTTAATTTTAATCTTTTCCAATACTTCTATGGAGAACCTAATGTGAAACTACATTTGTGCTATACTGTGGAGAGGTATTTCAAGTTTCTTCAAGTTACCTCCTAAAGGGTTGAGACATCTAGATGCCATGCCCCTCATTTTAACTCTTGGAACAACCCTCCAAGATATTTGAGGTAGTGGGGCCAGGGGTTCAATGTCATCCTGAGACAACCACCTTTTTGGAAACTGCACAACCTCATAATGTTACATCAATTAGTAAAAAACAGCTCCATTAAGTGGTAAAGCAAACACAAGGCACAAAATATCTATACCAATAAGGATACAATAATATCCACAGTTTATCAATATCATTCTCAGTAATACTTTAAGTCGTCAAATAAGATCACAGCAATGAAACAGTTCAGGATATGTAGACAAAAAGATAAAATACACATAGTCAAAATCCTGAAAAAGAAAGAAATTAAGCTCATTAATGTGACCAACTGCCTTAAAAAACACCTGAGTTTGGATCAAGTTTGGAATATAATAACCTAAGATGTTTCAGGAGGTATTTTAACGAGGTCTTAGCCTACTAACAGGAAAAAGTAAGAGGGCCTAATGATTTCGATGACAAAATATCTGTTTGTAGCTGAGTTACATGAAGAAGTGACATATCTGTCACCGTCTAGAAATTTAAACCTTCATGGGAGGTTGTGGGACAGTAATATCTGCTATGAACAATGGGAAACATGTAAACTATGTTTCAATCTACTCACCACAATTCCTATGATATCTTCCAGGCTCTCTCTTGGGATAGCTTTGACTGCATTGCTAGCCTCCACAACCTTCTCACGTCCCTGGTTTATAAGGTCCTTTTTGACAAACCAGATAAAAAGGCATCACAGCACAATAAATATGCCGGGAATAAACAGCATTAACATGGTATAGAGCACAGAGCTGAGCAAAGCCATGAGGTTTATACTTTAACACTTATTCCAATAATTCGATGCACTGTAGCACTAAAACAAAAACAGACAATGTTAGGCACCCAGACTATAATGACACACAGAAAAAAGGGTACATTTATTTCCATTTAAAAATTTCAGTCCCTTAAAACGTCGGCAGTGTGCCTATCAAAACAAGTCACTGCTTTTGGGAACAACATTCTTTTTTGAGATATAAAATCCGTAAAATACACAGCACAAGCCATTCTCTACACACGAATACATGTCGCAATTAGCTCACAAAGAATGCAGAGTCCATTTGGATCTCATTACGTACCTCCAGCTGTTGGTTAGTCATTGAGGTCAGTGCAGCTACATTGAAGGGGAAATATGCATTTGGAGCGCCCGTGTTAAGATGTGAATAATGAAACCCAGATGGCACGTTGACGCGCATGGAGAGACCCTAGAAAAGAAAGTTGTATGTTTAAAAGAATATAAAAGGCCGTTTGACCCTTTCTTGCCTGGAAGTGATGAGGCACTTTCCCGCTGAGCGAAAACGACAGAAAATCCAGAATAAAACACCAATACTAGCAAAAACAATTTGCGAGCAATTAAAATTTTCAACTGCAGTCATGACAAAAACGATTCAAAATGACAAGTTAGAAGAAGCTTAATTTTTTTAAAAGCTGCAAGATGTAACACTGATGTAACTTACTGACTCACTCTACAGTATATTTTCTCAGCTCACCTCAGATTTAAATCCTTGGCCTTACCTTCAAACCTCTCCTCTCTCCTTTTATCATCTCCCACAGGACGGTAACTAACAAGATACTAGTTATCTCTTCCCTCCTTGACTGTTCCTCAGCCAGTTCTCAAGCTACACATCTCCAACACCTCTTCAAGACAAACCTGTTCAGACTGCACCCACAGGTCCCAGGATTCATCCCTGTCTGGTATAATTGCTGATCATTGTAGTAGTTTGCTTATTGTTATACTATATGTAGAATTACTATAACTGTATATCCCCCACTGAACTGGACTGAATTTGGATAGTTAATTAACTGTTGTGAATGTAAATATCATTTTCCAAAGCCTTGTTCTCTATCTATATATAATAATGACAATCGTCTAAATCTTTATATATAAGCAAATCAAAAAATATAACAATTGCAAATGAAACATAAACACTGTATAGAAGCATAATTGTTTCACTAACAAATGTTTTAAAACAATTGTGTATTCAAAACTTTTTTCGATGCAATAAGGACCAAACAGACATACTGCATTACACTAAATAAATCTGTTATATTTTAAAGAATGATACCAAAAGGCAGAAATGACTTGGCAACTCAGACACTGCATGTGTGTACTATTGAGGGGGCTGAGACTGAGATAAAAATCAAGCTTTCGGTTTGGTTACATATCACTTTAGGAAAGATCTCCAACTTGATTTAGCCTTTACAGCAGAAAGAAAATAAGTTATTAAAGCAATAAAATGTACTGTAAATGAGCTGAATGGAAGAAATGGAAAACAGAATAAAAGCTTCTTTTTCATGTGAATAATGTGCAAAACCTATGGATCTAACATTTGCACTGGAGCAAGCTGGATAGATACGGGTTACTTGCTGTTAAATGTGGAAGCAAGGCGTTCCTATCAGGTCAGTTCAGCGAGTGTTGAATAGACTAATGAAATTACAAGTTAATGGCATAAGACACGATCCTATTTCTCTGTTTGAAAAGACAGCAAGTATTTAAAGCTGAATCTATGTGGTGACCTACATACTAGAACCCTGAACCTTTGTACAGAATACAGACTAACTCAACTGAATGGTTTAAACTTTCATACAGTCCCAGTAACTTCTGGTTATGTATTTCTCACTTTCACTTTGTCTGAAAAACAATTTTTGGAAAATATCTCTTTGCATGAATAAACATTACGCAGTGAAATAATAACACAAATAGACAGGACAGCTCAGTCCAGTACACGAAATGTGACAGAAAGACACACAAGCAATTCATTATGCATGTCTCAAAAAAGGTATTAGCACCTGTTTCAGCCAAAGTCTGATCTCAAAGAAGCTTATTTTTGTAAATACTGTTGAATTAAGGTCATGTTAATTGTTTTCCTCTGGATTATTCCTGAATACCTCAAATAAAAGTGCCTTGCATGGGGTCAAAACAAATTTAAATGGCAGGAGATGAAAAGTATTCAAAGGTTTTGAAATATAATTGTGTTCTCTATAAAACTAATAATAGACATGACAAAGCTGAGCTTAATGTCACGAGAGGAAAGCACAAGAATAGCAGGAATAATAATCATTAAAAAAAAGTACTGTATAGAATGAATTCTAGGATTACCCTGCCACTCAAGAACCGCAGAGGTCCCGCTGAGTGGAGTTTTTCCTTTCAAAATAAACTCTTATTAACTAGCTGATGAAATGTTCTGAAAGACATGGACTGCAAGCGCACTCTCACGGTAATCTTAAGATAATAGCATGAATTTTAGTAAGGTTCACAAGGTTACACAACATATCACCGTGACAGTGAAACTTAACCAGACTGCCGAATAAAACAGGGCGTGTTTTCATACTGCTGACAGAAAGATCACATTTTATCACTATTAATATTCCACTGGGAAGTGATTTCATAAGAGTTTCATGAGCACACTTTTAACACCCCAATCCATGAAGAACAGACTTTTTAAGAAGCCTTTTAACAAAGAGATTATACAAATTCACAAACTTAGTTTAATATTATTTTTTTAGCTCAGGATTTAGCTCTAGAACAATTACTGTATTACTTTGTGTTAGGTTACAGAATTAATGGCATCGTTACAATCTAAAACCCTTACAATTTACTTCAGTAGCATACTTCACGATTTCTGCATGATTACATGATATTAACTGTGTACCACAAGACTATCTATTCCCATGTACTGTATCCAGTATATAGTATACTTTGTAATTGATAATATATCACTGAGACTCCATTGTTCTTATGTGACACTGCCGTTCTTCAAGCAATTTTGTTTTTCTTTCTGTTTCACACTGTATTAATTATGCTATGCCAAGTAATAGATGACTATCAACATTTCAGTATCAGTATTTCTGATAATGACAAAATGTTTTAAAATAGTTACAAATAAGGAGGCCATTTAGCCTGTAGCTGGGTAGCTTGTTCCATGTTCCTGCAACCCTATGGATAAACTGCAAGTGCCTACTGTTCTGAGTCCTAACAAGACTGAACCTGATCGCAGTGCCTCTGGCATCCATGTCGGCTTGATCCTAAACAGCAACATCTGCACTTGGAGCCTAGTTTAAAATAAAATTAATAATCCAAAGTTTGCCATCTCCTTTGATTTTTGGAGGACATGAGCTTAAGGTCTACATTTGTGCAACTGTGAATAATTCCACATTCACGGAAAATCAGTGTCAAACAGTTCATTATCTCTAATGTTTTGGTAGCAGTAAATATGATATATTTTTCTAATTTGTGAAGGGTGTGCTATCTCACTGCTATTGTGCGTGCATGTTTGGTATGGGTTACAAATATGTTTTTCTGTTTTATATATGATAAAAGTGATCATTCTTTCCATTTCAATATCACACGCTATTTAAAATTTAACCAAAGGAATAACAATGTGAATTTATTTATGAAAGTTGCTGGAGGAGTGGGTTATTGTTTTACATTTTTAAAATGTCTATAAAATTGCTGTGCTTTGAGGGACATGATGGTAGAGGCCTAGGGGAAGATTTGGACTTGCTAAGAACTGATGAACTGGTGCCATAGTTTGACCACCATACTGTATTTGTCAACAAATGTTGACCACAAGGCAACAGGAATGAAATCTGGCACAAGTATAATAGGGCACGATCCATATCAAAGTAGTTTGAAACAAGCTGCTACGCTGAAAATCTTGGCAGGCATGAGCTAATCAATCACTTGGTAAGTCATGTCCTGATATGTTGCAGTTCTCTTCAACAACTACTTGCTCAAACTGAGTAGGTATCCTTCTTGTATTAATATCTTAATATGATTAAATAGATCATCTGCCTAAACCCAAATGGCTATATGACAGCCATTCTGCTCTCATAACTAGCACTGCCTCTGACTTGGACATCACTGTACCACTGCCTTACAACGTGGAGTGATTGGCCATGTAACTTGGTAGGCATCATTTGATCAAAACTGGAATTTCATTAAATTTCATTAAAATAAAACAAGGTTCTTGCATAAAATAGGGAGGCTGTGTGACTTAACATTTGTTGCCATTGCACAACCCATACTGCGAACTACTCCTGAGCAAAAACTGTTTGCTTCAAACTTGATGGGTACCATTCCAGTGACAATTCAATTACTATATGATAACAGATTTATCCAAGTAGGCTGCCTGACCAGCATGGTTTTCTTTTTCATGTTTTCTACACCACAAACTGCTATTATACAAAACATGTTGGCCACTTAACCCTCAACTTAGGGGCAACATTTTCTGACTATACCATTAGACTAAGTGTGCCTGGATCTAGTTTTCTGAACCAATGAAAACTCTGAATGATACTGCCGGAGGCTGTTGGCTAATGCTGGACTCTCTAATGAGAGGCCACAGCGGCTGTGACAGGTGGCAAGTGCGGTCTTTTCTATATAAACTGGTTGCCAACTGAGACAGCCTGACTAGACTCTAGAAGGCTGCTGTTTGAGAGACGAAATTGAAGAACTTTATTTTTAAATAAAAGGTTTTTAGTGTCAATTTTTTGTAAAACTATGGCCAGGCACCATCACATATTAGTCCAACCTGTCACGGATGGAAAATACAATACTTTTCCACACTGCAGAATAAATGCAAGGGGTGTGGAGGTGATCAGAGGGGTTTCTGCAAAGTGTATTGCACTGACCTTCTTTTCAGCTTCGTACTCTGCCCAGGCGGCCTTACGGTCCTCCTCACTCAGGGCCTCCTCCTCTTTGTGGTCCAGCAGGGAGTCATGTTCATGGTAGCCGACAATCTGCTCCTTGAAGCTATGGAGCAGTTCTGCGAGGAACGGATCCTGGAAAGAAACAAAACATGTTTTTGATTGACAATATTCTTTGTATGTGCTCTCAAATTCTCACAAATCTCCTCCAGTAGACAGCATTTGGAAAGCAGTACAGTTTATTAAGCTAAAGAACACTTAAGAAGCTAAAGAATTTGTCTACCTGCTTTCTCATATTTAACTTGCTTGTAAGAAATAAATGTTTTCATAAGGCCATAAAAATGATTAAATTTGTTCATCTTTTTCCCCCATCTCATTTGTTTTACCTTCCTTTCTAAATCTAAATTTGTCCTTAAACCTTCTATAGCATCCTATTACATCCTCACGTTTTAAACTTTTCTGTTTGCGTGACAAGTTGTATTTTTTCTCTCTCACTTTAGATAGTTCTAATATCAGCACAGGAATGTTAAATAAGCATGTCCACCGTCAAAGTGCTGTATTTAATATGCTCTGCATATTGTGAACTTTATAGTACCAACAAATTACACCTGTTAATAGAAATGGAGGATTAATCTAGGTACTTTTGAAAGCACAGTAAGCTCACAGGTACACAGTCAGCTCAGAAAACACAGGCAGACTGAACTCCAATAACACTGATAACTCCCAATCTACGACATGGTTGTTTTGGGAAATCCTGTTTGCAAGGGTCTATTCCATCCAGCATTCTCTAGACTATAAGGCCTGCGTACCATACAGAGGCTAGTTCACAGACTGTAGGTACGACCCCTTATTCATTAAAAGAATAAAAGAAGCCTTGCATTAGATCAGTGGTTCTCAAACTTTTTGGACCAAGTACAACCCCTAATCCATCCATCTACAAGTCACCATCTCATAGGAACCCCAGAAATTCTCTATGACCAACATGAGCGCGCGTGCACACACACTCACACATACATATAATAAATATTATAATAATAATCTTTATTTCATATAGCGCCTTTAAAGGTGGCTTCTCAAAGTGTTTTACAGAAAAAAAGCAGTAACAACAACGTATAAAAAAGCACCATTTCAGTGAGAGGGGTGAGCCTGTTTAGTCGAGCAAAGCAGATGTGAATTAATTTTTCGAGCCATGATACAATTCACAACAGAGTCTAACAGATTTTAAATCATCAGGCATTTTCTTGACGGTAAAGGTCTCGCAGTGGATGTTGCAATGCGTCCATTAATTTCTGGAGCAACCTCTCTAATTCGTGCAACTACACCGCTGTCGGCTTGTCATTGCTCTAGCACCTGGCGGCACTCCGTGTACCACTGCCGGTACGCGTATCACAGTTTGAGAACCACTGCATTAGATTATCACTACGTAACAAAAGCTCTCTTTGGTTTCTAAAAATAGAAGTCCCTGTTGTTTTTTAAGAAAAAGAGAAAGCTTACAACTGTCACCCTAGTCTGACATCTTCATGGCAGCAAAATCCTGAAAAGTTCTTGCTGCCCCATTAGACTAAATTTGAACCAAACATAAGTCAGGAACCTGCCATATCACGACTGTATGACACATAAACATGACAGATTCAATAGCAGTGACCTTATAATTCAGTTGACTGACTTTCCCTTGAATTACCCGAGTGTGAATAAACCTAATACTTCATTAAAAACATTGCTCCATATTAACAGAAATTTGAAGTAGCAATGTACTGCAGTATTGTAAGAGAAAAATCAAGAGTCGAGCAATGCCAACATAATAACTTTAACACCTGTATTAAAGCATTTATTATAATATACTGTGCAAATTTACTTCTAAGGTGCAATTTGGCCTGTTTTAAGTTTACTTTAAAAACGGTTATTGAAAGTTACGTAAAATACAAAAACTGACCAATTTAAATGAAAGATGAAAAAAACTGAAGAAAAGAGTTAAAAACAAGTAAGGGGAGAAAAGAGATCTTGGTCCCCATACAGCTCCTCAGAAAGCCTGCCAGTATGAGGAATTAATTAATTGCTTATACTTATATACTGTAGCGCTTTTTCTGGACACTCCACTCAAAGTGCTTTACAGGTAATGGGGACTCCCCTCCACCACCACCAATGTGCAGCATCCACCTGGATGGTTAATTATACCTGAAAATTGACTGAAATCTGGAAGTCATCATTGAGCAACAGGAGTCTGAGGTTCAATGGTATAGTTACGCTAGTTTCCTTTACAGAGCTAAAAATGCCCCTTTAAAGGACTTCCAAAATCTGGAATATTTTAATATATTGTATGCAAATAGGTTCCATTTACAGCTTGAGTAAATCTGTGAAAGTGTTGGTATTTTGAAACATTCTATAGTACTGCACAGGGTCTATGTAATTTTAAAATGAACTAACTTATATCTAGATATGATAGGAAATATTTTGCCCCAGATTACTGTACATTCCAACAATAACTACCACACAGCTGGTTATTCTATAATTTTGAAATTATATTCCTAATTTTGGAACTATATATTTTATTTATAACTCTCAGGAAATAATAAGTAAAAGGCTGTTTTTATATCTTAAATATATGTAAATCACAATTGGGCACAGCCACACTAACAAATGTTTGGGAGCTGTAAGGTTAAGCTCCTGAAAACAAACCCCCAAAAAACTAAAAGATAAAACTTAAACACTTCAATGGACGTGAAATCCGTACCATGAAAATAAATCAATATAAGGGAGTATATTAATTTTAAATAAATACATATAAACTTTAACTGCTAAATTATTAATTAGATTAAACTATTATCAAATATCTATCTTCTCTTTATGAATTTGTTGAAAGCTAGTAAAGGTAGAGAAATCCAAGGAAGATGACTACTATTCAGTAGTATATTAAGGTTCAGCACATGCGAAGAGTATTCTAGGTACATTTTCCAAAGGCATGAGTACAGATTCCAACCAACGTTACCTTATAACCATAGCAATTTAATAATCATTTTGTAAAGTTCTAATGATGGGCTCGATGTTTACAAGTGTTACAAGTTTTTATGCACAAAAAGTAAGCCGTTGACATAATTCAGCATGGTATGCATCATTTAGCATTAAACTTATCTGACATTTACTAAGTTGTTAACCACCTGATGTGCATGTAGAAGCAACTTTGCTTTTTAATTAATGTCCTGTGTGGATTGGATAACCATTCATTTCAGTTTGTTCAACTGATAAAATCTAAAATATGAAAAGATAGAGACAAACCACAAAAAGA